CCTCTCCCCCTCCCCATCCCGACCTCTCCCCCCTTTCCTTCCCCCTTGTCTATCCCAATTCCCATCCCGACCTCTCCCCCTTCCCATCCATCGCCTCCGACCTCCTCTATCCGTCCATCCCGACCTTTCTCCTCCCGACTCCCATCCTGACCTCTCCCCCTTCCCATCTTGACCTCTCCCTTTTTTCCTTCCTTCGCTTACTTCTCCCTCCATCCCCGACTTCCATCCCAACCTCTCTCGTGACCTCTCCCACCATCGCCTCTCCCTCTCCCCTTTCCTTCTTTCCTGCCCTCCTCCTCTATCCCGACTTCGATCCTAACGTCTCCCCCCTTCCGACTCCCATCCCGACCTCTCCCCCTCCCCATCCCGACTTCTCCCCCCTTTCCTTCCTTCGCTTACGTCTCCCTCTATCGCCTCTCTTTCTTCCGTATCCTGACTCCCATCCCGACCTCTCCCGACTCCCATCCCGACTTCCACTCCCTCCATCGCCTCTCTCTCTCTCCTATCCCAACCCCCTCCTCCCCTCCTCCTCTATCCCGATTCCCATCCTAACGTCTCCCCCCTTCCCTCCATCACCTCTACTTCTCCCCTATCCCGACCTCTCCATCCATAGATCCCCCCTCCCTCCTCCTCCTTTCCGACGCCCTTCTCCTTCTTGACTCCCATCCCGACCTATCCCCCTCCCCATCCCGACCTCTCCCCCCTTTCTTTCCTTCGCCTACCTCTCCCTCCATCACCTCTCTCTCTCTACCGTATCCTGACTCACATCCCAACCTCCCTTCCTTCGCCGACCTTTCTCTTCATCGCCTCTCCCTCTCCCCTATTCCAACCACCCCCTCCTTTATCCCTATCCCTACCCACCTTCCCTTCCTTCGCGTCTCGACCTCTCTCCTCCTCTCCTTCCTTTCCCCGACATCGTCCCAACTCTCCCTCCCTGATCCCGACCTCTCCCTCTTCTGTTCACGTCTCCGATCCCGACCTCCCAGTCTCGACCTCCCATCCCGACCTCCCCGTCCCGACCTCTCCCTCTCTCCCCTTGCTCTCCCCCGACCTTGCCCCATGCCTAGATTCCTCCTCCCTCTTCCTCTATCCCAATTCCCATCCCGACGTCATCGCGATCTCTTTCTCCTCCCTTTCCTTCCCCGTCCCAACCCGTCTTCCATCTCGACCTCCCGACCTGATCCGGACTCTCCCCCCCTCTCATCCCCCTCCCCTATCCCCACATTCTATCCCGACTCCCATCCCATCCCGACCTCGTCCCGACCTCTTCCCCCCCCCACCTTCTCTTCCTTCCCGTCTCGACCTCTTTCCCCCTCTCCTTCCTTCCCCCGACATCGTCCCGACTCTCCCTCCCTGATCCCGAGCTCTCCCTCCTCTGTTCGCGTCTCCCATCCCCACCTCCCGGTCCCGACCTCCCATCCCGACCTCCCTGTCCCGACCTCTCCCTCTCTCCCCTTGCTCCCCCGACCTTCTCCCATGCCTAGATTCTTCCTCCCTCCTCCTTTATCCCAACTCCCATCCCGGCGTCATTGCGATCTCTTCCTCCTCCCTTTACCTCCCGACCTGAATGGACTCTCCCCCCCTCTCCTTCCTTCCCCCGACATCGTCCCAACTCTCCCTCTCCCCTTTCCTTCTCCGAGCTCATCGTCCCCCTCCCCTATCCTGACATCGTCCCAAGCCATCTCGCATGCCTAGATTCCTCCTCCCTCCTCCTCTATCCCGACTCCCATCCCATCCTCTTCCTTCTCCCTTTCCTTCCATCTCCCATCCCGACCTCCCGACCTGATCCCGACCTCCCCCTCCTCCGTTCCCGTCTCCCATCCTGACCTCCCCGTCCCGACCTCCCATCCCGACCTCCCCGTCTCGACCTCTCCCCCTCTCCCCTTCCTCCCCTGACCTTGCCCTATGCCTAGATTCCTCCTCCCTCCTCCTCTATCCCAACTCCCATCCCGACCTTCTTCCATGCCTAGATTCCTCCTCCCTCCTCCTCTATCCGAACTCCCTTCGCATCCCGACCTCATCCCGACCTCTTCCTTCTCCCTTTCCTTCCCCGACTTCCTTCCCCCGACTTCCTTCCCCGGACATCGTCCCAACCCGTCTCCCATCCCGACCTCCTGACCTGATCCGGACATTTCCCTTCTCCGTCCCCGTCCCCCATCCCAACCTCCCCATCCCAACCGCTCCCCCTCTCCCCTTCCTCCCCTGACCTTGCGCGACAAAAAAAAAAAAAAAAAACGAGAAAAAAAAGAAAAAACGATCAGCTAACCTTCGTCCGCCATCTCCGCCCAACGTCCACGCAATTCCTCCCAAGATCGTCTCCTTCTTCTCCTCTCCTCCAGCGCACTCTTCCTGACCTCGAGGGATGTCTGCACCTGCCAATCCCTATGTTCCTCCTCCCCTCTTTCTCTCTCTTTCTCTCTTTCTCTCTCTTTCCTTCTCTCTCTCGCTCTCTCGTCGAACCGGACGTCTCTCTCTCTCTCTCTCTCTCTCTCTCTCTCTCTCTCTCTCTCTCTCTCCCGTCGAATCGAGCGCAGCAAGCACCACAACGACCACAAAGCGCTGAAAACCGTCGCATCGAAACATCACCGCACGAAGCAGCGCCCGAATGCAAAAGCCGGACCGGCGACAAGCGTTAAGATTGTCGAGCGGCTCCGGGCTGGACGACCCGATAGAAGTTTCGAGAATCATCTGGCGCGGATCCCCGACACCTCTATCGAGACGTCCAACCCGGGCCTCGCTGGTCCGGCCCGCCCCGAAGGCCTCATGCCGTGTCTGTCGGGCCCGCCTACCGGTCCCACCCCGTTTCCCAACAGCGGAAAGCGGGATCTCGAGGGAGCGTTACGCGAGACCCGCTATTTGCTTAAAGAGTGTTAAGGACAATATAGTTGTCCTGCATCCGGAAAACAAGGTGAGATGGGTCTCAATGGAACTAATCTATAGAATTAGAGTGTTCAGTAAAGACTCCTCATCGTGGCTGGCCTTCAGACCTGCAACAAATATTTTGAATTTACCGATTAATCCGGCCAGCTCGACATGGGGAGCTCAAAGGAAGCAGGAACGAAACTACACTAGATCCCTACATTCCCTATCAATTAAGTCTACCTATCGGATGTTAAAACCTAGAATCAACCTAACGACAGAGTCTCCCAGAGATGGATGCAACACCTGAACCTAAGTAAAGAAGACAAAAGTCAGGTAAAATGGTTCAAATCAGTAAGAGCAAAGCCTGCAAAAATAGCATCTCTTCAAAGGCAAATTGAACACCGCTGTCTCCCCACAAATGACTGGTTAATTGACAGGTCCTCCCTGGAAAAAGAGGTATAGCTGAAACGTGGTGTAAACTCTGTATATCAACTTTCCCTAGTAGGAAAATTCCCGAAATAATAGAGCACATCTTTCTAGTGTGCCCAGATGGTGGGAACGTGTTTGGAGTCAAATGGGTACAAAGACACAATGGTCATGGGGTTGGAAAGAAATCCTACTTGAAGTCTGGTCTACAGATCAGACAAATGACTTCACTCAGAACATGTTTACCCTGGGTAGGCGAGCGATTCTTTGGGCCATATGGCAAAGAAGATGCACCAACGAATGGGAAGGTGTTAGACTGGATGTTCCTGAATTTACTGAATGTTTCAGACAACAAATACAAACGGATATCTTTAACCAATGGGAAATAGTCAAAATTCATTTCAACACTTCCAAGAATCAAGACCTTCAAATCACTCAGTAGAGTCTGGCTACGAGGGGGAGATCCCTTGATTCCCCTCCGCCCCATGGGTGATTTCCCCAACCCCTTTCCACCCCCTCAGAATGCTATTGTCCCATTATCATGGTATGGTCTGGATGAGTACCAGGGCTAGTGCTTTACGTTCATTTGGCACTCAGGTCTGGGTGAAGAGGCTCAATACTCATTTTCCACCTCCTCAAGCTTCTGTATCCATTTTTTTTTCCCTTGTAATAAAACCCGACCCTGACTGCTAGTGATGATGATAAGAGCATCCACCACGAGCAGCCCGGCCACCGGCTCCATTCTATTGGTGGGGAGCTGCACTTGTTGGAAACCGGGTCCAATGTCCCTCATACATATGTTGCTGGAAACCGGGTCCAGCGTCCCTCATACAAATGTTATTGAACCATGGTTTAAGGCGAGGTGTGACAGAAGGAGAGTTGCCTCTTCAGCCAAAATCTGGCCGCCAGATGACTATGCTAATGCTAGCAGCGCAACCTCCTGTCCATCCCCGAATACCCATTCATCCCATCATGCCTATTCTGACATCAAGTGTTTGCTAACAATTTGACCCCCCAGACTAACAGATTTTAACAGACAAACTGAAGATGAAAAAAACAACTTGTTACCCCTCCCCCCCCCATACCAATGAAAATCTAACAAAGCAAGCTCGGAAAGGGGAAAGGGATCCGGAAAGGATTCTGGGAATCTCAAGGTGGCTCCTGGCTGGACATCAAACTAGTTCTGCAAGGTGATCTGATAATCCCTCTTGAAATTCATCTCTTCTTCTTCCCCACTTGGCCACTCCACATTCCCCATTTTCCTTCTTGAAGAATCACCCAGCCAGTCCTTTGTGAAAATTTTTATTTGTTTCTTAATATCCTGTTTTTGTTGTAGCGTTTGAAGCCCAGATTTAGTCTTATCCCATTAAGACCTTATTTCTGTTTCTATGAACTGTTGTACCAGCTCATACATTTCTCTACCCTCAGTCATTGCCTTTTCCATCGTAAACACACACCTTTTATACCATAAAACCCATAAAATGGCTTTTCTACCAATGTTCAATAGATTCCGTTGAAAAGTTGATAAGGAGATGAGGGCAGGGCATCAGTGACCCCGGAGGATCGCCCTCCAGTCCCAAGGCCAATCTACACCTGTCATTTTACTCCATACATAATCACAACGCCTCCACAACAATTTTGCCCCGAACATTGCAAAAATTAGTGTTCAATTGTTTCCCTTATCTTCCTACTAGGGAATGCCTCCACACAAGCACAACACCACGGTAGGGCTACACCCTTCTGTTCCAACGTGGAATGGTCAATCAATCAGTTATTAGTTGGTAAGCAATGATGGACAATCTGCCACTGTAGTGACGCAAACTTAGCAGGCCTCTCCTTGAATCCTTAGCACCACTTGATCGGTCTGAACAGATTCGTATAAATATTTAAATGTCGAGCCCATCATTCCTATATAACAGCAAGAACATATACTCGTGGGCGTAAAAGGCGATACGAAGCTTTAACTGATAAAGACTGTAATTTCTGAGCTTTGCATTTCCTGTTGGTACGCCAAATTCACTCTGGTGGGTCCAGAGGGAGATCCGGTATAGGGATATTCGAAGCGTACACAGTCCATCCTTTGGAGACTAGACAATACAATGTCGTCACTCTATAGAGTGAGTTAAAATGGAAGAACACCACCTTATCGTGGTTGCTTTGTGAAAGGGAAAAGTCCTTGTGGAGTGCAAAGAGATTTACTAGGGCACCATTCGTATGAATATCCAGTATTTGCCCCACTACCCTGGAACCCTCCATCAGATGAGCACACACCTAATCTGCAACCAAAAAAGTAGGACCCTTTTTCAAGTCAACCACCCACGCCAACGGAATGGACGAAGTGATTAGATCAAGATTAACTTCCTTTCTTAACCGGTTTACAAATTTACAACTTTTGTTTTTGGTGTTCCACAAGCCAATCCAAGATCTGGCCCTGGACCTAGTAGAATGGGTATGGCAATCCCCCAAAATAGGAATCCCCCCGAGACAAGTGACATTAGTCTGCACCAGCTTTCGGTCAAGACAATCTATAAAATGCTCAGACCCAAACGACGTCTAAGGGACACAATTAATGATCGATGGGCAAGATAATTAAATGGTTTAAAGAACAAAAGCACAAACCCATGAAGATTATCTCCCTGCAGTGGCAGATAGCCCACCGCTGCCTGCCAACCAACGACTGGTTGACTGGCCGTACAAACCTTGAACAAAAAGGCTTGTTGCTTCCATGGTGCCAGCGATGTCAGAGCCTCTTTCCCTTCCACAAGAAGGCAAAAACTATTGAACACATTTTCATGCAGTGTTAGCACTATACATATGGAGATGGTGGGACCGCATATGGAGGAAAATGGAACTGGACATCTTCTGGCCCTGGTCATGGCAAGCCATATTGGCAGGACACTGGCCGCCGGCAGGAACAACTTCGACCTTTGTTGGGAATATGTACAGACTGGGAAGGAGGGTAGTGATATGGGCACTATGGTGGCAAAGATGCACTCTGGCGATGGAACAGGTACGAGTGGAGGGCACTGAAATTAATGAACAGATTCAGCAGCAAATTCACCTTGAGCTCATGCGTAGATGGTTGGACACAAAAACGCAACTGGACCAGTTCGGGCAAATGGGAGATGTCAGGAGACGAATCACGACTTTTTGCTCCGACTGGTTAGGAGGGGAAAGGGATGGAGCGGGGATTAGGGAGAAGGGCTGAGAGAATTAGACGGAATGAGAGAATACCATTTAGTTTTCAAAGATTTGACTAATATAGAACCCTCGTTCCCATTACGCCCTCCCTCCGATTTCCCAAATCCCTTCCCACCCCACGGTCTGTCCCTGGCGGAAGTGTTGCCATAAATGTGCCCCATGACCCTCACATCCTTCCCTGGAGCCCCTCAGGGAGGACCCCGCTCATTCTATGTTCCCCTGCTTAGCGGCCTTGGAACAGCGTCAGCCTTTGTGTGAAGATACATGGAAGAGACAAGGAGAGATATGGTTGGTAAGGGTGCAACTGGATGCTGGACCCGATCTCCAACAGGCGAAGCTTTACAAGAGAAAATCATAAAGTGGTACGGGTCTGCTCAACGTATCCAGGAATTTGTATATAGCAGCGGACATCTGGCACTGGGTTTTACTCGGTTTTTGTACTCAGTTTTTTCAAGGATGGTGAGGGGAACTAGTTCTTTAGTAATGGACATCCGACGCGTGGTACTGGGCCGAAGAGGTTCTCTCCCCTCCCTTAGCAATCTGCACAGTCAATCCTCTGGTTGCCAGAGTCATCAATGCTGGCAGTTCACAACTATCTCCTCTGATTCAACCTGTTCTCATCTTATTTACAATCCGCAATGGGACGCTGGACCCGCTTTCCATCAGGTGATGCTCCCCACCAATAGATGGAGCCCCTCCCCGGGTGCTAGTGGTGTCTTCTCTTATCAGCACCTCTAGCATTGCAGGGGGGTGTTTTTTGTTAAAAAAAAAATTAAAAAAAATCCTTGATCCTTACCAGGCTGTATTTAACCCAAGTGGACCACGGAGGGGTGGAACTTATGAACACCCTTCCTTGCGCGTCCGCGATCCACCTATTGCCAAATTGGTTGTCGTAGAACTTCCTCATACGATTTGTTAGGCAAAGAAAGTTTACGCCAAGTTTTCAATAGGGTAGCCCAGAAACTGTCCAATATCAGATCCTTTCTTACTTCCCCCCCTTCCCCATTCTTGAGAGTGTGCTTGAGGCCGAGGGATAGTCCAATACCTGTCCTCTACCCAAGTGAGTGGGTTTACATTATTTGTGTTTTTGGAGCCATTCTACGTATTTGTTTCTGTGCCAATCCTTGTCATGGAAGATATGTGGCCAATATTAGTCATTTTAACCACTGAAGTGCTAGTGCTTGACACTGGATCGTAAGATCCAAAATGTTGAGTCCTCCTTTAGACTTCAGCTGTATAAGAACCTGCCATGCCACTATGGGGATTACATGAGGCGTTTCGTGGTCTCCTCGCCAAAGAAAGGTCGTGAGTTGTCCCCGAAGTTCCTTGGGCGGACCTTTGTTTAGTGACCACAAAGCAGACTTGTACCAAATTGAAGCCAAGATTACATTGTTAATGACCAATGCGCTACCAAACAGGGCTTCATTTTTTGTACTGGTCGGGAAGCGCTCCATACATCATTAGAGATTGGCTTCCCCCTAGTTGTGAGCACAACTCCCAAAACTCTGATTGGCGCCTCTAGTGGCATCTATTTGACCCTTTGACCCTTGGATTCTCAGGAGGCCTATCCCCTTGAGAGTGAATCCACCAACCCTGTGTCTTACTCCCCCAATTGACCATCACATTTGAAAGAAGGGAGAACCTATCCATTAGTGTTTTTATCTCTTCCATATTATCATTGGACGCCTCCATCATTATGGTTAGATCATCAACAAACATAGAACAAATTGGTATAGCTTCTTCCGGAATACCTGTAATCTAAAATCTTTTAAGATTATGATTAGATTGTAGGTTAGCTCCTAATGCCTCCATAATAATAAAAAAAGAAATCGAGCCAAGGGATCCCCTTGCCTAACCGATCTTTGGAGGCGGATTTTCGTGGAAAGTAGATCATTAATTTGAACTCAGGTAGTGGCGTTAGAGTGAAGGATAGTACTCCACCTATGAATTGTTGGACCAAAATTAAACTTGGCTAAACATGCATCCAAAAACTTCCAATCCACATGATCATAAAGTTTCTCAAAATCTATAAAAACAAAGGCAGCATTCTGATGATTCTGGCGGGACAACTTAATCATCTTATTGATGAGCAATATGCTATCTTGTATATTCCTTCCATTAATGAACCTTGTTTGAGAGGGGTGAATGATGCCTGGCATTATTGGAATGAGACGATTCGCGATGGTCTTGGCCAACATTTTGTACACGACGGTGAGCAGGGTGATAGGTCTACGACTCCTTATATTCGTTTTATCTCCCTTTTTGTATAACAAGGTTAGAATCCATTGCCCAATTGTTTCCCCCATACTACCCATTTCCTGGACTTGTTTGTAGAATTCAATCAGATCCTCTGCAAAATACGGCCACATTGTCTTCCAAAACTTTTTAGGGAGGTCATGAAACCCCGAAGTTTTATCCTCATCCATTTGCAACAACGCAATCCATATTTCCTCCTTCGTGATAGGTTCTTTCAATCTTTCTGTTTGTCGTTGCGATAGCTCTCGAGTCATGGGGGCCAAAAAATCATGTAAGACCGGATCGACGGCCGACACATCTACCTTTGAGATGAAAAGATTTCTGAAGAAGTCATACGTCACTTTCAGACTGCTAGCCAAAGTGATAGAATCCTGTTGTGATGTCTGTCGAGGATCTATTAAGGCTTCAATAGTCGTTCTTCTAGCTCTGGTACGTGCGAGGGAAAAAAAAAAGATGTATCAATTTGTCTTTTTGTCGAATGCTTGAAGAGTGTGCCTCTGATCATGTGACCTTGCCAATAATGTTAAGCAAGGGTTAGTAGTTGGTTACTGAGTGCTAGGATATCGACTGGTTGGGGTAATTGTTCTGAAAAATCTTGTTGCTCATATTTGAGAATTTGTTCTTGAATATTAATTTCCTGCTTATATCTTTCCTTGGCGATTAAGTATTCGTTGCACTTTTTGGCCAAATAAACTAGCCCATTGTTAAACCATGCTATATATGACTCGTGTCTATCCTTGGAAGAGTGTCAAAAACTCCATACATCATGAAGGTAACTTATGAAGTCCTTTCGTTTCATGAGGGAGGAGTTGACCTTGTAGAAACCTCTACCCTGATCCGGTTTCTTACGGAAGGAAAGTAAGACAACACACATTTTATGACCTACCCCTGGCCACAGACTTTGGGGGAAAATGTTAACCCCCATTAAGGCACAGTCTTGATCTTCAGACATAAGAATCAAATTTATCCTTGATCTTGCCCGGTGGGGGAAACCACCATTTCTAAAACACGTATATGATCTCTCCTGTGGGCAAAGACGCCTATATGTGTCAAACAAGTTTTCAGATTCGCATAGTTGTTGGATAATTTGTTTGTCCTCCTCTATATAGGAGGGATATGGAGAAGGGATTCTCCAACTATCCAACCATCTATCAAGCGCCGCATTAAAGTCCCCTGCTATGATGATTGGAACACCACTAGGAATATGGCTCCTAATGTTTTGGAAAAATTTTCTACGCTCCTGTACTATATTAGGACCATAAATATTGAAAACACAAATTAGTTCTAACTCCAGCGTTACCAACGTAACCAGCCATCTGCCCTGTTCCTGATCGGCTTTACCCCTGCTGACCCGTTGCTCATGGAATAGGCATGGTATTTCTGATAGGGCCAGGCTAGGTTATGCGCCCTATTGAGCTTAGGAGAATCCATGAGGTGGGTTTCTTGGATGCATATCAAATCAGGCCAACACCATCCACCCACTCCTTTCAATTGCTCCATAATGGCCTTACGTTTTACTGCATCTGTTGTAGCAAGGCCATTTACGTTGAGAGACCTTAGATCCAAATCTGTTTCCTGAGTAGCACACAACCAAGCCGGATTTTTACCATAAAGAGCCTGTAGTGCATCCATCCCTACAATCCTCTAGGTCCCTACTTCCGAAGCCCTATAGTCACCTATAGTTGTACCCAGTTACCCCCCTCCAAACTCAAAGAGCCTGTCAGTAACCCACAACGTAAGATAGAGCAGGGAAAAGTTGAGACCTCCCCTATCGACCATACCGCATTTGCCTTGATTTTCAAATGCCGGAGTTCCAACATTGCTGCATGCAAGAACCATCTCAGACCCGATTCTTTATTATCCTCAAACGTCACGAATGTATCACGTTTGGACATCTTAGCCTGATCCTCGATTTCTGTGAGAGTATCTTGAGGACCTGGATCAAAATGTTTGATCAAGAAATCATGCAGGTCCCTCTTAAAAGTTATGTCATTAGAGCTCTGATAATCCACGTATGTGGTCTAGCCTCTTAATGTGACCCCCCCATACTGATCTTGGCCTATAGGGGAGGGGCCAATTTCCCATTTCTCGCCTTTTTTTTGGACCGGGATTACCAGATTTCCTCTAGAAGACTGCGGCCTAGCGCCTTGTCCTTTTTCCAAAACATGTCTTAACTTTTGCCGCTTACCTGGATCTTGAGTCTTCTTTTCTTTCCTTTGTTCCTCCGGAGGAAGGGTCGTCAATGGAGTAACTGATGGATTATCTGCTCTAACCTCCTTGTTACCCTCGTTGACCTCTTCAGACTCCGTCACCTTAATCCCCACCACCTGATCCTCATAGGAGGAGACCCTTGGTTCAAGCACCCCTACCTCTTCTACCCTTATCACCCCTCCCCCTTCGGGAGAAACTCCACATGACTCAAGGATAGTGGTCTGATTGGGGCACCTTTCTCCTTCAGTGTCGTTGGGCAGCATGGAGGGACCCCCTACCTCCACCAGCGATGTGCATCCCTTGTCTCCAGTTTCCCATCTCCTGAAGAGGAGGGAGGGTGAAACAGGCCCATCACAATGCTCAGTACGCGTATGCTTACCGTAGACCATAGAACACCCTCAGGAAGCCCCTACAGTAAAACCTATTTCAAACTGTGACGGCTGGTTAATAGATTAACCAGCTGGACATATGAATTATCCCAAAATTCAACAGTGGCTTCCCCAAGCCGCAGTTTCAGATTTTTCAACACCCACTCAGCTAACTGTTTTATCCTTTGATCCTCAGAGATGTCTGGCTCAGGTTGGGAGGCTACATCCTCCATTTCAAAATCTCCTGTGGAGGGGTCCACATCCATTGGATCAGGACCAATGCCTTTTGAAGCTGATCAGAGGCTGTTGCTTCCGTTCCCTCCATTACTAAGTCTGGATCTTCCTCCTCAACTACTTTTGGTTCCCCCATCAAGTCTCATGTACTCTCATTTCCCCCAGTCATTCCTTGCGAAGATTGGAGTGCATCAGACTGGACTTCTTCCATGAGGGAGTTCTTATCACCGGTGAGAACAGCCTCCTTGTGTGGACTGATTAACTATTATATTTTTTTTTCCTTTTTTTTTAACTGAACCAACCCCTCAACTGAACCCTCTTCTACCGTCCCCACCCATTCCTCAGACTCTGAGTCAGAGTCTTCCCTTACCCCCTTTTCTCCTACATACAAGTAGTCTGCTGGTTGTGGACCCGGGAGTGTACCCACTTTTCTATGGTTAACCGGTATCCACTGCGAATGACTCATTAGCCCCTTGCCTTTCTCCCTGGTCTTAGAACTTCCTTATCTGGAGACGGAGAGGACGGTTCCTTCCCCTTTGCCTTAAAGTTCTCTTGTGCTCCAGACGAGGAGGCCTGTGCGCTATCATAGCGCGCGGGTTGGTGAGTTGACTGCGTTGACTGTGCAACCATTGTGGGTGTTTTTACTGTTACTTCAGGGGGTACCCAAGAGTCGGGGGGTTTGGTGTCCCAATTAGGATCCCTCTCACGCTCCCATGTCCAACCTTTAGGCGTTTCCCCCTTCTTGGCACTCTCCACGTAGACTCATCCCTCATGCTCAGCATCAACCGTCCTCCATAGATTAACTTTGAATGGATCCCGAATGAGCCTTCTTGCTGCTCGATTCCTCCTTCCCGGATTTTGTGTGCAGTTAGGATCTGTACTCAAGTGTCCATAAGCTCTGCATCTAAAACATCACGGCATCAGTTTATGAGCCTTGTGAATGTGGTATTCTTTACCCCCTACCCTGTATGGGATGACGTCATCCAAATTGAAGGGCACCATGGTCGGGTGGTTGAGAGCCAACATCAAATGGTCATCCCTTCTGGCCACATACGCAAGGAGGGGTCTATAAAGTCAACTATATCGTGATTTACCCCAAAGTCATGAATGAATGCCGCTTGGATTACTATTGGGATGTGCCTAAATTCCACCCAATAGAAATCTTCCATCATTTGATTTCTCTTTTCATTTGATCCTTGTTTAGGCGGCTTCCAGGGATAGATCCGAACCTCTGATCGATCACACCTTCATTATTTCCAGGATTCAATCATCTTTTATCAGTCGTGTGTAAACACAGAATTGTAAACATGGTTGCTGAAACTGGCAAAATAAGAAAGTCTTCACACACTGCTTTGTAGCTGCCCTTGAATTCTGATGACCTTTTGCATATCCACTTAATTTTATCAGTAGTGGATTTGTAAGCAGTAGCATCATGGAAGACCAAGTTATTTGCATGTGTTGAATAAATTGTGTCACGTTCTGCCAATTATGAGACGGGTAAGTTTTTATCATTGTGTTTTTCTTGTTAATTCAATCACCCGGCTCTCTAAAGAGTAATAGATTTAGATAAAAAAAAAGCCTTGGCCGTGGCCAGATTTCTCATAGGTATTTTCAACGATTGAGACTGAGACTGAGCGCCCTGCCTTGGGATTTCCAATTCTTTAGATTGAAAAGGCCCTTTGACGCATTGTAACCACGACAAAGGAGTTGTTACTGGATCTGACGACTGACCCTCATTGGTCAGCTTCATTCCCTGTAGAGGAGGCCACTCCTGCCCCTGAACAGGCAGATGTGTTAGAGATCCTGATGTTGTCCCCTCCTGCCCGACTCTCCTTCCTCCCATACTACCACTTCCCCCTTCCGTACCTCCTTCCTCCCTTCCCTCTCCTCCACCTTCTTGCCCTCTCTCCTCCTCTCTTTCCTTCCTTCCCACCTTCTCACCACCCCTACTAGCTTCCTTCCTTAACTCTATCCCCCTTCGTACTTCCTCCTCCCTTCTTCCTCTCAACCCCTGTGATATCCTCTGTAGTGGACCCGTTTGAGCAACCATACCTCCTTTGCCTCCCATAGGACTCTGTAACAGTAAACTGGCCCTGACCTCCTGATGCGAATGTACGCTGGTGCCCCATCATCAGAGTCTCCCCAGTTAATAGTGACAATCGCTGATATTTGGAGCCTATCCCCTGTCCCACCGAATTTCCTTCCCCCGATCAATTTCCCCTGATCATTTTGGCAAAATAAGGGATTGAGCACCTTCCTCCCTTCCCTCTCCTCCACCTTCTTGCCCTCTCTCCTCCTCTCTTTCCTTCCTTTCCCTCTTCTCACCACCCCTACTAGCTTCCTTCCTTAACTCTATCCCCCTTCTTACTTCCTCCTCCCTTCTTCCTCTCAACCCCTGTGATATCTTCTGTAGTGGACCTGTTTGAGCAACCATACCTCCTTTGCCTCCCATAGGACTCTGTAACAGTAACTGGCCCTGCGAATGTACGCTGGTGCCCCATCATAAGAGTCTCCCCAGTTAATAGTGACGATCACTGATATTTGGAGCCTATCCCCTGTCCCACCGAATTTCCTTCCCCCGATGTCAATTTCCCCTGATCATTTTGGCAAAATAAGGGATTGAGCACCATCACTCCCCCTTGTGATTTGCTGAGATTGTGAGGGGGAAGCGTGTTACTGGCTGGGGAAGAAAGACTGACCAATGGGACGCTGGACCTGGTTTCCAGCAGGTGCAGCTCCCCACCAACAGATGGAGTGACAGGTACAGGTATACTAGTTGGGGGTGCTCATATTACCTCAACTAGTATTTCCTGTAGAGTCCTTTTTAAAAAAAAAAGGAAAAGGAGATCACAATGCAGAGCAACCCACACACACAGCACAGAATTCTGGACAAGTTCATGAGAGGCAAGAACCAAGGTAGCCGACATCAATGGTCCCAGTCTCAGGTGGACGTACTGGCACGACTCTGAGTCGGTGCTCCGCGTACAGATCACTACTCAACAACCAGAGCCACAGGACCCTAGCCGGGCAACCTAACCGGGGCACGAGACAGCATGATCGAGGAAATAGCAGATTACCGCCTCTTGGTTCATACGGAGAATGGTATACTGCTGGCAACTTGGACGAGTAGCAGCGAGGGAAATCTATCGATTCACTTATCACCCTATCCTGAGTATCCTACTATCCTCCTGTTTTCCCTATGAGCAAGTCCATCTGCCAGGTTTCCGTGAGTTGAACCGCGGAGGAACTACAGTGGGAATGCACGCTGACAGTCAATCCTCCAAGCAATTGGAGTAATCAATGCTGCACAAGGTTCCTTTGGCCAAACGGAAGGAAGCGTGTGGGTGTCAATATTGTATTCTATGACTTGCCGGGGGAAAAGGAGCCGAACTGATGCTCCCCAGAATGGGTAAGGAGCCAGCGCCATAAGGACCTGCTTTAAAAAGAAAAAAAGACAAAAGAAAAAGGGCATCCCTGGACGTCTCACCACTGCCGATGACAGATCTGTAGCCATTTTCACTGTGCATTGGCACAGCTTAAGCCACCAGTACTTCCTAAAGTCGTGCGATTTTAGGAAATGTACGGGTCACTACAGGAGCACCCAAATTCATCCGACTAGAAATGTTTCTACTCTATTTTTTCCCACCGCTGATAGCTCGGCCAAGTACTGGTGGTTTAACGAAGTTATGTCCTGTCACAGTCCGCTGGGTCAAAACGCGGCAAGCAAATTAGGGAACGAGATCTGTATAGGAAACAACCTTGTTACTCTCATCATTTGCACCCATCCTCACTGTTTATCTAGTAATCCACTCCTCACCACTTTAGTTGATCTAGCCCCCAGGCGATCAGGCTCACAGCACTCGTCTTTTGACCGTCCTGAACTAACTGAACTTGGCAGACAACCATAGGAGTAGGGAGAGTCAAATAATGGACAACCCAATTGAAGAGTCGTCCTTGCAAGGCCAGCCACCATGGTAAGAGGATTGCCTCTTGCCTCTTGCCGCTCTCTCTCTCTCTCTCTCTCTCTCTCTCTCTCTCTCTCTCTCTCTCCATTTTTTTTATTTTTTATTTTTAAACGCACAGGTTGACATACATGTCAGAGACAGATCCCCGGGACTCCGTCGTTTGGAGTTCGGATGGCCCGCTGAGCCTCTTGGACCACCTATACAGAGTACCTTTTCAGACTATCCTAAGTCCTATTGCAAAGTCATGTCCCTCCCAACGCCTACCAGTTATGAGCAGGGACTAGACCCAGTTCCCACCGATTCCAGTTCCCTGACTGGTTGCGATTATGGGCCCAGTCTAGGCAGTTTTTACCTCAACCCGCCTTAGCAAAACACCTAGCCGATTCACCATCAAATGGATGTGAATGACCAGCCCCCCTCCTGGTAATATACACTACACACCCATGCTATCCCACCCTCTAGACAAGCAACTGGACCTCGAACTCCCCAGCAGAACCATACATTATCAGCATCCCCTTCAACTAGTCCATACCAACCCTATAGCGATCTCATAGCCCCCCCAACTGGTCCCCGTTCTGCTTTCTACAGAATCCTACTCTATACCCGTGTCCCTGGTACTATGAGGATCCTCTGTGTCTGCACACTGCCTAGAGACGACCAGCCAGTTGGGTGTTTTTCTCAGCATTTTGTTAAAACAGACTTGTTTTTATAACAAAATTGAAATCTACTTATCTGGTCCTAAACATGTCACTGTTTTAGCTCCTGAGGGTCCGTCTGGACTTAGCTGAAGTCCAGAAACATCCGAGGGGGGCCTGCATTTTCAGACGGTGACATTCTTAGGGCCAAATAAATAGGTTTCAGTTTCGTTCAGAAAATATAAAATGTCTATGTGTTACCCACTAGTAACTACCGGTTGTACTGGCGCATTGTCCTCCCCGCGACTTCCAGAGGCCCGTGCCGCGAAGCCGGCCGTACATTAAAAATCTGAACGATGGCGGAGCCCCCGAAAGTTGCGGCGCGTTAACGTCAAAGCCCCGCGGCTGCACACTGGTAGAGATAGTGGTGGTTTAAATTTTGTGATCTCGTTGTGCCCTTCAGATTCCCTGACAAAGACCTGGACATAATCCAGCAAGGCCTACCCCATAGCTTAGAGTCTAAAATCAGGCGATGTAGATCATGAAGGAAGAAAGAAAAGAGAAATGCTTCCAGGGGAAAACAGAGGCAAACCTGCGCAAAACAAATAGAATATGATCTGAGACACGATTCTAATGCAGGTGAACGGCCGCGAACCATGCTTGTGCCATGTGGGTGCTATGATTGCATCAACGAGTCTGGATAAGAAAAATGGGTCCACTGAGATGATGGGGCCAAAACAATGAAAAGAATTCAGGCCAACATACATAGCAGCAGTCGATCTGGAGTGATGATTAGTCAACGACGGCAGGCAAAAAACAAATACAAATTCAATACATATACATCTATTATACTGTCATAAAAAATTGTCAGGTGAACCGCAGGCAAGGAGGGAGAAGAGGACAGCAAAAGAGGGGCTGTGACAGACAGACTCTCATCAGAGTTCCACTGACTCATCAGGAGGTTGGACCCTCCACAGTCTGCAGAGTCCGCTAACCAATTGATAATGTGAAGAGATCGTCCACCTTAACCCTCCTTGTGGTTAAAGCATCAACGACCACCAACCACAGTCAATGCCACTATATATAGTCAAACAGAGCTGCCCGGTATATATATATCAAATATATCAAATACAAATATTCACTCGGACACTCTAGCGTTGGCTTCTTCATTGAATCCACAGCAAGTTTAACCTGCTCCATGAACTTCGCTATGGCATGGCGCTTGGATATGCGGTGCGCATCTGGTCTTCAACATGGATCCTCTTCATATAAACCACCAGTGCTTGGCCCATACATTGGCCACTGGCCCTTGATGCTGTGTTAACCGGGCTTCAGGGCTACTGCATCACAATGGCTGCAGTGCCAGCCAAAGCTTGGCGCAGAGGGGGGTTGCAGCCCCGGATGAAAGTGGCCCGGAAGTACTGTTGGTCTAAACATAGTAAACAACGGGCCCTCGATGAAATCTGAGGACTGAGGCGGTATGCTCACTGGCCGAGGAAAAGTTCTGATCAGTAAGGGTGGTGGGAGGATTTCTCCCAATTAAGTTGGGCTCCACTAAAACAGTCCTACAATCTAAGTGCTGACGTGGGTGCCAGATTTGGCGTTATTTTCAGTTCCCCAGCTTCCCCCGAGTCCTGCTGATGTTTTGTCAGTCGTTACTTTGGGGAAGGGTACCGGCAGTCTCTTCCACCACGTATTTGCTGCAGTGCTGTTCTTCCAATCGGAGGGCAAAACGAGAATGAATCTTCCGCTACAACATGGGAAGATACGACACCGTATTTTTTGTCTTCTGTGCACGTGGTGACTAGGCAGCGTGGGGTTGGACGCTTGTTTCATAATTTTTACTGAAACTCTCGGTACGTGGAGCCCCCCATTTCCTTGTGCGAACTGCAGCACACTTACTCTGAGTAGGGAAAATTCTCCCGATTGAGTCCAGTGGAGCACGAGCCTAAAGGCAAAAATATTAGAAAATAATGGCAAAGAGCAAATGGATGGTAAACTGGATCCCTGGAGTAATGACTATCCTTCAGCTCCACAGCAAAAGCTCGATCCACCAATAGCAGAGACACGAAATGGACATACACCATGAATGTGGAAATCTTTGCTCCAGAAACGCGGTGCATTTAGGAACACCAAAATGCGGATCACTTAGGCGAACACGGGTCTCATGTCTGGGCATTCTGTCCGAACAGGGCTACGTATTCCTACGGGGGTCTTCTCGTACAGCCGTACGAACAGTTGTACGGCCGTTTGTACACCCCATATACTAGGCTGCAAACCTGGGGCTGGGGATGTCTCACGGCGGTTTGCGAGCCCCAGGGGTGTGGAGCGGTGGTCGGGGACCCGTCCTGTATTAAAAAAGAAAAATGATTTTTTTTTTGGGTGAAAAAAATGATTTTTTTTTTTTTTTTTTTGGGGGGGGGGGAAA